GAGACATCACTGGAGCACTCCTAGTCCAACAATCCTAGTCAGTGGAAAACTGTGGTGACCCCCAAACACAATGCACCTGTCTTAGTCTATTTCCCATTGCTATAACAAAACACCTGTCTTAGTCTAACTGGGTAAATTATAAAGGAAAGAGGCTTATTTAGCCCATGGTTCTGGAGGCTGAGAAGTCCAAAATGGATGGTCACATTTGGTGAGGGCCTTGTGCTGCTTCAAGCATGGCAGAAAAGAGGAAGGAGAAGAGGGCACGAGGCCAGAGGCAGCCTTGCTTTGTAACAACTGGCGCCTGCAGTAATTAATCGAGTCCCACAAGAAGAACTCCCATACTCCTGCGCTAATCCCTTCGTGAAGCTGGATCCCTTACGACTCAAACACCCCTTAAATGTCCCACCACCTCTCAACATTACACTGGGGACCAAGCCTCAAGATGAGTTTCGGTGGGAACAAACAATGTTCAAACAATTGCAGCAGCCGAGGACTCAGAGCCTGCAGGAATGAAGATTTGGGTCATCTCGCCAGGTAGAGGACCCTGTCCAAAAAGGTGCCGGCAGAGCTAAGGTGAGCACAGAATGGAAGTTATGATTAGCTGCTTAGGTTTGGGGGCCAGCTAAGGAGGTGGGGACTGTAGCAGCTACTTTTCATGAACTTGGGGCTTTTTTTCTTTCCCATCTCAATTGATTCCCCATCTTAATCCATTTGGGCTGCTGTAACAGAATACTATAGACTGGGTGTAGTATAAATCACAGAGATTTATTTCCCACAGATCTGGAGGCTGGGAAGCCTTAGGTCGAGGGGCCAGCGGATTTGGTGTCTGGTGAAGGCTTGCTTCGTGGCTTATAAACAGCATCTTCTTCATGTGACCTCATACGGCAGAAGGGGCAAGGGACTCCTCTGGGGCCTCTTTTATAAGAACTTCATCCCACTCATGAGGGCCCCATCCTTGTGCCCTAATCACCTACCAAAGGTCCCATCTCACAACATCACCTTGAGGGTCAGGATTTCAACGCAGGGATTGCGAGGAGACGTAAACATTCACTCTGTTGGGCCGGGCACAGTGGCTCACACTTGTAATCCCAATACTTTCAGAGGCCAAGGTGGGCAGATCACTTGAGATCAGGAGTTCAAGACTAGCCTGGCCAACATGGCAAAACACCGTCTCTGCTAAAAATACAAACATTAGCCAGGTGTGGTGGTGTGCACCTGTAATCACAGATACTTGGGAGGCTGAGGCAGGAGAGTCACTTGAGCTTGAGAGGCAGAGGTTGCAGTGAGCAGAGATCATGCCAATGCACTCCAGCCTAGGGGACAAAGCAAGACTCCATCTCAAAAAAAGAAAAAAGAAAAAAAAAGAAAAAAAGAAAAAAAACTCACTCTGTTTCACTCCCTTTTACTCATTACCTTAACTGAGGAATACAGGCAATTTCAGCTGGGAGTATGACCGGTTGACATCAGTCCACAATGATATGGTAGTTACTATGACTTATAGATCCCCTGTGTTAGGCGAACAAGCTCTTCACCTGGAAAAAAGTCTAGAGTGGGTGCTGAGGGGCCAAAGGCCTGGGCTGGGCTATTTACCTTTTGTTTGCCCCTCTGTATGCACCCCCTCGCCGTCTCCACCCCGCCCTCTGAGGCTGACCTGTGTGGTCCACATCCACAAACTCCCGTGGGAGGTGGCCACAGGGAGAGAAGAGACGGAGGTCAGGGTGTTTATTTCCCTGGCTGGCTGTATCCCTCAAGGGACAATGACATCTTCTCTTCCTGGGGCCTCGCAGCTCAACTCTCTCCCTGTGGATGCCAGGAACTGTTCTCCCCTTTCTCCCTTCAAGCTTCGTGGGGGCACCACCTGGCTGCTGCTAAACTCTGGGTTACTGCACCATCCTTTGTGGTTCCCCGACACCCACACTTTGCAAATAAACTCTCCTCCAATGATCCTATTTTGAATGTGCCATCTGGTTCCTGCTGGGAGACCAACTAATACAGTGGGTTTTACACCAAAATGACTCTGCTAACAGTTTCATATTTGAACTGCAACTTGTGTCCTGGCATTTCCTCTTAAAATCAGAGCTGTTTTGAGGAGAGCCTGGGAGTGCCTGCCCGTAACACTGACAAAAGGTAAAAGGGCTAAGGAACACAATGTAATCACCTAACATAGTGCCTGGGGCAGATTCAACTGCTAGACTATTCCTTCCAACTCCCCACTTCCCTGTTACCCCGTTTAGGGCCCCAGGCTCCGTACTGCAAAGGAAGCTGCTGGAGGGAGTCGGCATCCTTTGTGTGCCTATAATGTAAGTTTGGGTTTTGAAGTAGGGAGGGGTTAGAGTAATTTTGGCAAAAAAAAAAAAAAGAGAGAGAGAGACAAGCTATGTTATTGAAGGCCTGCTCAATTCTTAAATGTTAATACACTTGCAAAAGGAAAGAAGAAAAGACATCTAATTTAGTAAGTTTGGAAACAAACAAAACCAGATTCCAAGCAGGACAAACCCAGTCCACTGGCAAGCAGGCGCAGACTGACTGCGAAGTTAATGAAGCTGAAGTCCCAGGCACTGCACTTGCCTGAGGCCCTTCAAACACTCTCATCCTAATTTTGTATTCATAATTTGATTCTTTTTCTTAAAGAGGCCCCGGCAAATTATTTAAGCTTCAGGCCCCACAAAACCAAGCTCTGCCCTCTGGCAAGTGATTATTTTGCCTCCTCTCCAAGACACAATGAGATTCTGTTTGGGAGACATCAGCGACCTTTTTGTCTGCCAACTTACCCCATCAGAATTTACATGCATTCTGGATTAATACAAACAAAATAACGGCTGGGAGGAGACGTGTGCTGTGCTCCGTGACAGCGGCAAGGCTGCAGCCTTGGCCACAAGGAGAGCTCTCACTCTCTGGGCTTCCCCTGTAATGAGGACACGTGAATGGGTGGGACGATAGACAGGAAACACTTCCCCAGCTTCCACCGGGGCAGGGCGTGCAACCACATGCACCCACCAGGGCGCGCACTCTGAGCATCCATTGTGCACTTCCAAAGTCCCAAATTACGGCAAACACATCTACAACTGGCTGGGCATTGGTGTCTCACGCCTGTAATTCCCAGGCACTTTGGGACAGGCCAAGGCAGCGTGATCACCATGAGTCAGTGGCAGTGTTCTGAGGACACCAGTCTCGCCAACCCTGCGGTGACAAAACTCGTCTCTACTCACAAAAAACGTATACGAAAGCAATTCAGGCCACGGGCGTGGGGCGGCGCCGTCCACTGACTCGGGGCGGGCCGCCGGCGCCGCGCCCGCGCTGGAGGCACGTGAGAATCATTGAACCTGGGAGCGCGGCGCCAAGGTTCGTTCCGGTGAGCCAAGATTGTCCACTGCACTCCCAGGACGCTGGGGTGACAGAGACTGCCGTCTCAAAAACACAAAAACAAAAGAATTCACACACCGCCACCATGTAAGCCACTACCGGCTCGAAACCCCATGTGAGCCTGTCAGCATCGTGGAGTGGGAGGTTGTCGCTCAGCTCCTCATATGCCAGGGGTCAAAGACCTCTTAGATTAGCTGTTCAAAGAAAAGTGCCAATCTGATTTGCCATCGCAGAAGTCCATCATTTTGCGAAATCCATTATGACCCTGTCTTCCATGTCGTAGGAGTCTGTTGTGCCAGGATAATAATACTACAGTTCATAAAGACGTGACTGACTGCAGCGCGTTTATTGGCCCCCAGTTACGTTGTCGAAAAAAAATGGAATAGGTTGGCAGTCGGCGTCAAGCCTATAATCCCACCCAGCACTTTTGGAGAGCCGAGGACCGACGGCCGATCTGCACGGAGGTCAGGGAGTCCACACCCGAGTCATCCTGGCTGAACACTGGTGAAACCCCGTCTCGTACTAGAGAAAATACCAAAAAACTCACACAAGAGCGGCGCGAGGGTGGCAGGAGCCTGTGATGCTGCCGCCGCCCAGCTACTCGGCGAGGCGAGGCAGGAGAATGCCCGTGAACCTGGGAGTGCGGAGCTTGCAGTGAGGCCGAGATCCTGGCCACTGCACTTCAGCCTGGGTGAGCAGAGGCAAGAGCATCGTCTCCAAAAAAAAAAAAAAAAAAAAGAAAAAAAGGAATAAACTGAAATATTTATGTTTATTCAGTGTTTAGTGATAAATAATTAATTAAATAAATGTTGGCACATCCACATAGCAGAATGTTGTGAGGCCATTAACATTAGAAGGTGGTAGAAAACATAATGATGGCTGCGCACAGTGGCTCGTGCCTGTAATCCCAGCACTTTGGGAGGCCTAGGTGGGCGGATCACCTGAGGTCAGGAGTTCAAGACCAGCCTAGCCAACGTGGCGAAACTCCATCTCTATTAAAAATACAAAAAGTAGCCAGGTGTGGTGGCACGTGCCTGTAGTCCCAGCTACTCAGGAGGCTGAGGTAGGCAAATCACTTGAACCTGGGAGGCAGAGGTTGCAGTGAGCCAAGGTCAGGCCACGGCACTCCAGCCTGGCCAGCAGAGCGAGACTCCATCTGAAAAAAAAAGAAAGAAAAGAAAAGATAATGACATGGAAAGATAAACATGGTATGAACAGACCTGGGGGTGGGCCCTGTGGTCTCACTCCCTGGTGTTCACACCCAGTGTAACTTCCTCCCCTGGAGTGCCAGTAGGACCTGCAACTTCCTTCCAGCTAATAGACTGAAAAAGGTGAGGGAGTTTTGCAGACTTAATTAAGGTCCTAAGTCAGTTGATTTTGAAGTCAAGGGGGCATTTTCATGGGTGGGCCTGACTAAATCAGGTGGAAGTCTTTGAAAGAGTATCTGGGCCCTCTCAGAGGGTCTCTCAGAGACTCTCCGTCTATTGCTGGCTTTGAAGAAGGAAGCTTCTATGTGGTGACAGGGTCACTTGGCAAGGAACTACTGTAGTCTCTAGTTGCTAAGGACTATCCCTGGCTGACAGCCAACAAGAAAACAGGAACCACAGTTCTAGTCCTACAACAACGAGGGGAAGAATTCTGCCAACAGTCTGAGGAGCTTGCGGGCCAATGTTAAGCCTTAGATGAGACCAGTTGAGCCTCCGATGAGACCACAGCCCCAGCCGACACCTGGACAGCAGCCTGGTAAAGCTCTGAAGCAGAGAACCTAGGTGAGCTGGGCCCAAATTTCTGCCCTCAGAAAAAGATGTGTGTTGTTTTAAGTTCCTTATTTTGTGGGGGGGGAAAAAAAGGCAGGTTATGAAATAATGTGCAGGCCGGGCACAGTGGCTCAAGCCTGTAATCCCAGCACTTCGGGAGGCCGAGACGGGCGGATCACGAGGTCAGGAGATCGAGACCATCCTGTCTAACCCGGTGAAACCCTGTCTCTACTAAAAAATACAAAAAAAACTAGCCGGGCGAGGTGGCGGGCGCCTGTAGTCCCAGCTACTCAGGAGACTGAGGTAGGAGAATGGTGTAAACCCAGGAGGCGGAGCTTGCAGTGAGCTGAGATCCAGCCACTGCACTCCAGCCTGGGCCACAGAGCGAGACTCTGCCTCAAAAAAAAAAAAAAAAAAAAAAAAAAAAAAAAAAAAGAAAAAAGAAATAATGTGTAGCACAATCCCATTTTTGACTTAGAAAATGGGGTCTTGACACATACTTAGAAAAAAACCTGAAACAAGTGCCAAAACACAGATGTTATATAAGGACTACAAAGGTATTATAAAATAGATATGATTAAAATGTCTAGATGCATGTCAGGAATTAAAAGCATAAGAAAAGAATAAAACACTATGACTGGGTACCATGGTTTGAATGTTGTCCCCTCTGCAATTTATGTTGAAACTTCATTCCCACTGTGTCAGTATTAAGATGTGAGGACCGGCTGGGCACAGTGGGTTCACGCCTGTAATCCCAGCACTTTGGGAGGCTGAGGTGGGTGGATCACGAGGTCAAGAGATCGAGACCAACCTGGCCAACATGGTGAAACCACAACCACATCTCTACTAAAAATACAAAAATTAGCTGAGGGTGGTGGTGGGCACCTGTAGTCCCAGCTATTCGGGAGGCTGATGCAGGAGAATCACTTGAACCCAGGAGGTGGGGATTGCAGTGAATTGAGATTGTGCCACTGCACTCCAACCTGGTGACAGAGTGAGACTCCGTCTCAATAAAATAAAATAAAATAAAATAAAAAGGTGGGGGGTCCTTTAAGAGGGGATTGGGTCATTGGGTCATGAGGGCTCTTCCCTCATGAATGGATCAATCAGTTCATGGATTAATGGGTTATCATGGGAATGAGTTAGTTATCATCAGAGTGATTCTCTTATAAGAAGCCAGTTTGGCTGGGTGTGGTGGCTCACACCTGTAATCCCAGCACTCTGGGAGGCTGAGGAATGAGGATCACTTGTGCCCATGAGTTTGAGACCAATCTGGGCAACACAGGGAAACTCTGTTTCTACAAATAATAAAAAGAAATTAGCTGGGCATGGTGGCACACACCTCTGGTCCAGCTACCCAAGAGGCTGAGGTGGGAGGATCAATTGAGCCTGGGAGGTCGAGGCTGTGGTGAGCTGTGGTTGTGCCACTGCACTCTAGCCTGGGCGACAGAGGGAGACCTTGTCTCAAAAAAAAAGAAGCCAGTTTGGCCATCTCTCATAAATTCCTCTCCATGCGATGCCCTTGCTGCCTTGGGACTCTGTAGAGAGTCCCCACCCACAATAAGACATCATCAGATGTGGGGTCTAGCCCTTAAGACTTCCCAGCCTTGGCCGGGCGTGGTGGCTCACACCTGTAATCCTAGCACTCTGGGAGGCTGAGGCAGGCAGATCATGAGTTCAGGAGATCAAGACCATCCTGGCTAACATGGTGAAACCCCGTCTCTACTAAAAATACAAAAAATTAGCCGGGCGTGGTGGCGGGCGCCTGTAGTCTCAGCAACTCCGGAGGCTGAGGCAGGAGAATGGCATGAACCCAGGAGGCAGAGCTTGCAGTGAGCTGAGATCATGTCACTGCACTCCAGCCTGGGCTACGGAGCAAGACTCTGTCTTAAAAAAAAAAAGATAAAAGAAAGAGACATGTTGAGACTTTTTCAGAATTAATTTCTGCCACCTTGGCCTCCCAAAGGGCTGGGATTACAGGTGTGAGCCACCACGCCCGGCCAAGTGAACGTTCTTAATGTCCCTGAAATGTACACTTAAAAGTGGTTAAGATAGAAAATTTTATGCCATGTATATTTTACCTCAACAAAAAAAATGCCAAGCAACCCTAGCAGATCCACGCATGAACAGCAGAGGTATAAAAGCATGCAGGGGACTGATACACCATACATGACAGGAGAGCAGTCATGCCTGGGTGGGTGAGGAACCCAGGTAGGAAAGAGAACACAAAACACAGGATGCTTTTGGTGGATCTGTTTTGCTTCCATTCTAAAAACAGAATCTAACACCCTTACATTTCTTACCATTATATTCTAAACTTTTCTTTTTTCTTTTTCTTTTCTTTTTCTTTTTTTTTGAGATGGAGTTTCGCTCTTGTTCCCCAGGCTGGAGTGCAATGGCGCAACCTCTGCTCACCGCAAGCTCCACCTCCTGGGTTCAAGCAATTCTCCTGCCTCAGCCTCTTGAGTAGCTGGGATTACAGGCATGCGCCACCATGCCCAGCTAATTTTGTATTTTTAGTAGAGACAGGGTTTCTCCATGTTGGTCAGGCTGGTCTTGAACTCCCGACCTCAGATGATCTGCCCGCCTTGGCCTCCCAAAGTGCTGGGATTACAGGCGTGAGCCATGGTGCCTGGCTCTTTTTTCTTTTCTTTCTTTCTTTTCTTTTTTTTTTTTTTTGAGACGGAGTTTCACTCTCATTGCCCAGGCTGGAGTGCAGTGGCACCATATCGGGTCACTGCAACCTCCACCTCCTGGATTCAAGCAATTCTCCTGCCCCAGCCTCCTGAGTAGCTGGGATTACAGGCACCTGCCACTATGCCCAGCTAATTTTTTGTATTTTTAGTAGAGATGGGATTTCTCCATGTTGGGCAGGCTGGTCTCAAACTCCCGACCTTAGGTGATTTGCCCACCTCAGCCTCCCAAAGTGCTGGGATTACAGGCGTGAGCCACTGTACCTGGCCGGCTGACCCCCTCTTTATCCTGGGAACAAACTCCTCTGTTCCCTGGGTCCCTGCAGCCGCCTCGGCGTATTTGGCATCATCCTTGCCAAGTCTGGAGCAGGGGCTCGTGTGTGGTGTTGTCTCCCCTGGTAGTCTCCAAGTCAGAAGAGCCTTCCTGACCCACCCTCTCCAGGCCGACCCACCACATCGTCATTGCAAGAATCCCAGCAGTGGAGGGTGGAGAAACTGCCTGGGGAATCTGAGCTATTAAACAAGCTGTCATCCACAGGGGCTGCAGCAGCGAAGGCTGCCTTTTCTGGGGAAACCTGGAAGGGTCTTTTTGAGTCAACAGTAGGTGCCCTGCTGGCCTTGCTGCACTTGCTGGAAGTTGTCTGCAGAGGTCTGGGTGTCTGGAATTCACTTCCAAGACTGTGAGGAAGGTGGTCGGCATTCCAGCACAGCGTCACCTGCCACAGCTTCCTCCTTCCCCAGCAGGTGACCCCTTCCCCCTTGAACCTGAGATGAAGGTGTTTGCTATGATCTCACCTCCATGTTACTGACAAGGTCTCCATTCCCCTGGCTGTGCTGAGCCTCTGTGGCCATGGGTGTCCTCTGAGCTCTCATGCAAATGGTGAAGCCAAGCCTGGACTGCACGTGGACCATGGTAAGGCCCCAGAGGACACAGTCCTATTTGCTGCTTTGAGGCTGATCTTTGCTTATTTGACCACCAGGGTTACCCTGAGGCTGCAAGTGTGGAAGTAATGTCCAGGTGGGTCCCTGCCACCCTCCCTCCAGCCACAGACTTGTGTTACGTGAGGCTCAGAGTGAGAAGGGTCCTGAAGGAGCAGCTTTGTGGTGATTGGCTGACAATACTCTCAACATGCCTCCTCTGAGCCTTCTGGAATATTTGCCAGCAACATGACTGAGGCCTACACAGTGCGGCAGAGGGCACGGTCCTCTGGGCCCCTCAGCTGCTGAAATGGAGTCAACTGTGGTGTTTCTACCCATAAGCGAAACAGGTGCATGGCTGACTATCTGCGCGGCTAAAATACATCATTTCCAACTTTTTTTTTTTTTTTTGAGATGGAGTTTCCCTCTTATTCCCCAGGCTGGAGTGCAATGGCACAGTCTCAGCTCACTACAACCTCTGCCTCCCAGGTCCAAGCAATTCTCCTGCCTCAGCCTCCCAAGTAGCTGGGATTACAAGCATGCACCACCACGCCCAGCTAATTTTGTATTTTTAGTAGAGACGGGGTTTCACCATGCTGGTCAGGCTGGTCTCGAAACTCCTGAGGTCAGGTGATCCACCCGCCTCGGCCTCCCAAACTGCTGGGATTACAGGTATTAGGCACCCCACCCGGCTTATCATTTCCAACTCTTACAATGGCTTTTGAAGAGAGCTGTTATTATCCCCACTTTGCCAAGGAAGAAACTGAGGCTCAGAGAAGTCATATGACTTGCCTGCATGCAAGCTAAATGTGGTTTCAGAAGTCAAAGGCAGGTGGTCCCGGGGGGTGGGGGTGGGCAGGCCCGAGCTCTGTGCTAGGGCAGGTGCTCTTTTGGCCCCAAGTTCTTGCCGTTGCAGGCAGCACTGATTGAGGAAAGTGAGTGGGAGGTAATAGACCATAGTAGTTTCACAGCAGCAAATGACTGTCACGGTAAGGAAAAGCTTGTTCCTTGCCTGCTTATTTATTTATTTATTTAACTACCACTCACCACAACAGAAACTGGTTATCTGCAGGTGCACAGCTATTCTAAGAGAGTGAACGGGTGTGCAGCTTCCTATTAGAGCTCCGAGGATCAGTCAGAGCCCTCCCGGCCTGGCCCGCCCTGCCCTGCCCTGCCAGCTCTGCTACCCCAGGAGGCCACCTCACGTGCTGGCTGCTTCACTGCTGGCCTGACCCCAAGGCCAACCTACGGCCTTCCAGGGCCCTTTCCCTTCCTGTCCAAATGGGGCCAAACCAAGCAGGTGGTGCACTTTTTTTTTTTTTTTAAAAGACAGTCTCGCTCTGTTGCCTCAACCTCCCCAGTAGCTGAGACTACAGGCACCCACCACCACACCCGGCTAATTTTCGTATTTTTAGTAGAGATGGGGTTTCACCATGTTGGCCAAGCTGGTCTCAAACTCCTGACCTCAGATGATCCACCCACCTGGGCCTCCCAAAGTGCTGAGATTAAAGGTATGAGCCATCGAGCCCGGCTCTGATAGACTCTTTTTTAAAATTCTCAAAAATGTCTGGGCATGGTGGCTCACACCCGTAATCCCAGCACTTTGGGAGGCTGAGGTGGGTGAATCACCTGTGGTCAGGAGTTCAAGACCAGCCAGGCCAACATGGTGAAACCCCGTCTTTACTAAAAATACAGAAATTAGCTGGGTGTCATGGCACATGCCTATAGTCTCAGCTACTTGGGAGGCTGAGGCAGGAGAATCGCTTGAACCAGGGAGGCAGAGGTTGCAGTGAGCCGAGATCACACCACTGCACTCTAGCCTGGGCAACAGGGGAAGACTCTGCTTCAAAAAACAACAAAAAAAATTATCAAATGATTTTATTATCAGCTGTAGCACAACCCAGGAAGGGGCATACAACACATATGGCAGTTTAACAGATCACTGTGAAGCAGACACCTGGAAATCGAGTGGTGACAGGGCCTTGCCAACATCCCAGAAGCCGGAAGTGTGCAGTTCCACACCATCCCGGCCTCGCTGCCCACCACTGAGGATGTCAGGAAGCATTTGCCCCAGAGCTCAGGTGAGAGGTCTGGGGATCCAGAGCTGGTGTCTACAAGACAAGGCAGGTGTGAGAAGCTGTGGGTGCACATGCTCAGTGTCACCTGATATTTGGGTCCATATATATGGATATTAGTCCTTGGTTCCTTATGCATTAACCGACACCCTTCCTTCACCCTCTTCCTACAGTGAGGTCTATCTCTCACATCCAGAGGGAGGTTGAAGTTAGGCCAGGCAGAGGCGTGCTACAATATACCTTGTAAGGACATTAGAACCTGGATGGAAATGTAATGGGAATGAAGGAAAGTGTGTGACCGGAAGGCCCCTGGAGAAGAGAGCAGATGCTCAGAGGAAGGATCTGCTTGAGTTTCCCTTCAGCTGTGACAGAAATCTGAAAACCAGTGCCTTCAACAACTAAGAGGGTTGTTTTTTCATGTCACAGAAGTCTACGCCTGTTGTGACTCAAAGTTGCCATCGAGAACCCAGTCTCTTTCTGCCTTCCTGGGCTGCTGTCTGAAGCAGGTGGCTGTCGGCCGAGGTTTACTGCCTTGTGGATGCAAGGTGGTTGCTGCAGTGCCAGCCTTTCATCTGCATCAAGGCAGGAAGAGGGAGGGCAAAGGACTCAACGCAGAGCCGGTTGGGTTGAGTCTCTCCCCTTTTAGGAGCCTGCCTCGGATCCTCTTGCAGTGATGTCCACTTATGTCTCATTTGCCAGAACTCGGTCCCTGGCCACCCTGCACTGTAGGGGAGCCTGGAAAATCACCTTAAACAAAGCTGGTCACACCAATACCCTGAGAACAGACATTGAGAAGGAAACTAGTAGCTTTTCCTCAAAGAAATAATTTGCAGTGGGGACAATGAGACATCCCTCCCCCAAGCTGCTTTCTAAGGATGGTGGGCCCAGGAGGGTTCAGAGCCCTTACTGCATGGGGTGAAACTTGGGGTCAGAGCTGAGTTGCTGAGGACTAAGAAGAGGCTGAGCTGCGTCTCCTGTGGTGCCCTTCCCAGCCCTTCACACAGCTTGCTGCTTCTCCTTGAAATCAAAGCTGAACCCATATTTTAAAGTGTTCTGTTTTTCCCATCAATGATGCATCTGCTTGTAAATATGTTAAGAAAAGCTGGGCAGACAAGCTAAGTGGTGAGATGTTGGTGGGGACTCAGGTGCACACAACCCTGAGGGCAGCCCAGAGCTGTGTCCTTATGGGCTAGGGCTTCATCGTATTGGTCAGGCTGGTCTTAAATTGCTGACCTCAGGTGATCCGCCTGCCTCGGCCTCCCAAAGTGCTGGGATTGCAGGCGTGAGCCACTGCGCCTAGCCCTATCTTCCTTTTAGACTTGTAAGAGATCTCTACATATTACAGATATCAATATGTACCTAATATAGCAACTGAAAGGGGCACCAAATGATTGTGTCAACATTCCAGGTTGAGGTTTCATTCAGGGGTGGGGTCCTGTGCTCTGCAGGAGGACGAAGTCCCAGCCCAAAAGCCCCTCTGGTGGAGGTCAGACTCCTCCTACCCACACACATAGGAATCACTCTTAGATTTACAGTCAGAATTAGAGACGTTGAGACATTTTAAAAACAGGAGCGTGTGAGTTGAAATATAAATTTCCACCTTCCTTCAACAAATCAGGATCCCCCAGTCCCACAGCAGCTGCCCTCTGCAGCAACGGCCTCCCTTACACAGGAATACGCTTCCAGTTCAGCCCAGTTCCCATCACCCCAAGACTAGGTCCCCAACACTCACTTCCCCCTTGCACTGTTGGCTCTCTTATCCCCAACATATTTTGCACGTTCCTGTTCCTGGAATTTGAGTTTGCAACACTAATCTAGAGCAAAGCCTTCCATTTATATACAGGCAACGGGGAATGGTAGAGGTTCTTGCCCAAGGGCACACAGCCTATGATGGTACAGCCAGGCCTTTAGTGGGTCTCCTCGGACCTAGTCTCTCCTGGAGATGAACTAACACTGCAGATCCCAGGGACTGCAGAGCCTGGGGGAGAAAGGGGACGTAACTTGAGTTGGGGTCACTTGGTTGCATCTGAATTTGCTGGTATTGGGCTGTAGCAGTGGAACTCCTGGCCTGGCAGGGAGATGCCTAGTTGTCTCGGCATGGTGGCCCCCTCACCCCATGCCCTGTTCCCACGGGGAGAGAGGAAGCCACAGTGGTTGAGGTGAAAACCAGAGGTTGTGCAGCCCTGGCAGACAGAAGCAACCACGGGCAGCTGCAGCAGGCTGGTGCCTGGCCCACAGGCACCCTCCACACCCTTTCTGCAAACATTGCTGCCATGTGCAGAATTTTGGAAACGTGCAAAGCCTGAGAGTGGGTGCTCAGGAGCCCTCCCTGGTGTGTGCAGGCGGCCCTCGGCGACCCAACCCAAACCCCAACCATGGACATCAGGCAGCTGAGGGTTAAAAAAAAAAAAGTTATTGATGCACAGATGGCTGTGGTTTGAGTAGAGGAGTAGGAGGAGGGAAATGGAGCCTTCCTTGTCTTGCTCCAGGCTTTGGTTGAGACGTAGGCCCTGCCCTGGGAGGAGGGGGCGGCAATGAGACACACAGGCTAGTGGCCAGGCTGCAAAGCAGCAAGCCTGCCCCTTGGTGGTCTGCCTGCTGCCCTACCTGTGTCCTCCCCGCCGGCTCCTCCTCTCCTCTTGTTTCAGGGAGTTCTCTCCTCCTCTGTCTCCCCTCACTGCAGGCTCATGTCCTATTTACCCTATGGGATCTCTCCTGTCCAGGGATGACCAAGAGATGGGTCTGGAATGTCAGGAGAGCCAGAATGCAAACAGAGACGAGTTCAGACCTGCCCCCACGATCAACCCACCAACGTCGGGCAAATCTCCCCTGCAACCATCGTGTGGTTCTCCGTAGAATGAGGGGCTTGGCCTAAATGAACTTGAGGCCCCTCATCCAGGCATAATAGGCCCCATAATAGGCACTGGACCTGCAGGCCTGATACTAGATGCGGCTGCCTGAGCCTGGCCTGAGGTCTAAGAGCCTTCTGGCCAGAGCCCACCTCCCTCCGTCTCCTCTTCTAAGCTGCCCCTTGAACTATGCAGACTTCTTCCCAGGATAGTTCTAGCAAACTTTCTGCTCCAGCTTCCTAGCCTGGGTGTGAGAGGCGGCCTAAGGGCCTGACCACAGCACCCGGGCTCAAGGGCTGACCCTAATACTCTCTTTGTGACCCAGGCCAGGTCAAGGCTCTTTCCTGACCCTGAGTTTCCATCACCAGGGACAGAGATGAGTGACCTTGTCCTGCCTCCTGGACTCAGGCAATATCCACCCTTCATTCCTCATGGATTTATGGAGCTGTGGCCACATCAGCCACTTTACCAGCTCCTGCAAGAACAATAATAATAGAAGCAAAACAGTAACAGAAGCACAGTTTGAAGTAGAGTGAAGTTAGGACCCGCTGCTGTGGGTGAGCGGGGGGTGTGTTAGAGAGGATGGGGAGGAAAGGTGTCTCTGAGGAGGTGATGTGTGAGCAGAACTGTGGCAGGAACCATCGCTGAGCTGACCTGGGAGAGGACAGTCCAGGCACGAAAAGGACCGTGCAGAGGCCCTGAGGCACTGTTCAGGGATTGGGAAGAAGGCCTGTGTGATTGGGGCAAAGTGGGAACAGGTCCAGGGAGAGCGGGGCTCCAAGCAAGAGGGTCTGGGCTTGGGCTCCAGTGGTAGGACTAGGGATGGGATAAAACCCCAAACCCTTTCCCCAGGTGAGGGGATGTGGATGAACAAAGTGGCTCAGGACGGGGCTGAGCAAGCAGTAGCACTGATTCCTCCTGAGACGGAGGCCTGGCTCAGGAGCTCAGGGAAAGAGAGAGCCCAGCAGGCAGTGAACATCTACCCGATGGTGCCAGAGGTAGTGCAGGCAGCCCAGAGGAGACAGGACAGGCTGGAGTTTCCTGGGGAGGCTGGGGAGCCTTCCTGGAGGAGGCCAGGCATTAGAAGTAGATGCTGCCCTTCTGACCTCAGAAGTTCTTTCTAGAGGGCTCCCTCTGGTAGGGCCCAAAGGCAGCACTGCCCCAGGGAACGACTCCCAGGCCACGAAGTACAGAATCCTGCAGGCACGGCGCTTGGCCGCCCTGAACGCAGTCCTGTGGGATGAGACCGGTGCCTGGTTTGACTATGACCTTGAGAACAAGAAGAACTGGGAGTTTCACCCATCGAACCTCACTCCACTCTGGGCCGGGTGTTTTGGGCCGGGTGTTTCTCTGACCCTGGCCTGGCGGACAAGGCTCTGAAATACCTGGAGGTGAGGGCACAGCAGGTGGTTCGGGTCCACTGCAGGCAGCACCGCCCCCTCCCGACCCTGAGCAGGACCTGCAGGGAAGGCCGCTTCCTCTGGCTGTGCCCCTTGTCCCAGCCTGCGGGTCCCGCGGAGCCACCGGGGGGCAGCTGTGAGCCGAGAAGAGAAGGGCCAGGAAGGGGACATCTGGCTTCCCGCCGGGCCCAGCGTCCTGGCTTCCAGTCCAGCCCCACCCACAGTCACGGGAATGTCTGGAACCTTCTAGGGCAGCCGGATCCTGATCTACCAATATGCCCCAGAATTGAATCCGAACCAACTTTGATGTCTACTCGCAAAAGTCAGCCATGTATGAGAAGGTGAGCTGACCTGAGCCCTCCCCGCACCCCAGGGCGTCCCCTTGGTGAGGCAGGAGGGTCAGGCTTGGCAGGGCCCAGGGCCAGCGCAGCTGGGATGGTGGCGGCGCCCAGTGGCCACTCCTGGGCACTGCAGGGGCTGCTGGGCAGGCAGAGCGACTTCTCCCCACAAGGATCCCATTGTTTGTTGTCCCTGTGGCTGGGGGTGGGGTGGGGTGGGGTAGGGCAGTGCCTGACCTACGGCCCGCCCTCTTATTCCCAGTATGACATTAGCAATGGTGGACAGCCCAGTGGCAGAGGGGAGTATGAAGTTCAGGTGAGCAGGCCAGGGGTGGGCTGGCCATCGCCCTACAGGGAACTCCTGGGCTCTGCTGCCCACGACCCCCACCCCAGGCCTCAGTGTGCTCACCTGCATGTCGGCCCAGGGGACGAGCTGACTGGTGCTTCCTGTACTGCTGGGGTTAGGCAGGGCCAGTGCCCCTGGGGAGAGAGCCCACAGCCCCCACCAAGGGTCTGGGGCTTCCCCAGAAACCGGGCGCCACTGCCCTGCCTCTCCCAGGAGGGCTTTGGCTGGACGAATGGCGTGGTCCTGATGCTGCTGGACCGCTATGGTGACCGGCTGACCTCAGGGGCCCAGCTGGCTTTCCTGGAGCCCCACTGCCTGGTGGCCGCCCTTCTGCCCAGCCTCCTGTTCAGCCTCCTGCCGTGGTGACAGCCCTCCCCTCCTCACCTGGCCCCAGCTCCTGTCCCATTAAACCTCTGAGCCAGCTCCTGTCCCTTTAAATCTCTGCACCAGTTCCTGTCTTCCCCTGCCTCTTCATGCCCTCCTACCTCCCAGCCTGTCCTCTGATCAGAGTGAAGTGGGGGGCAGGTTCATGACCTGGAGGTCATGGGTTGGGGCCTAGCTCCCTTCTGGAACCTTGAATAGGGTGGAAATCCTGCTCCGGGGGGAAGACCTATCCCTCCTACCTCAAGTACCCCAGCGCCAAGTCCCACACCTCCGGCCTTCCACTCACTTCTGTAGTCCAAAGGCTTTATTGTTCTGCTGAAATGCTTACAAATACTGAAAACCCCCAGCCTGGGCCCACGCAACCAAGGGCTCAATGCTAGGAAGGAGAGCAGGGGAGGTGGCGCCCAAATAAATACATATAATTTATTTCTGCCCCTGATATTATTCCTTCAAAAGAGTCTGAATTTGAATGGATTGTCTCTAGATCTATTTATCCCCCAGGGCATCGTTAAAACAATTGTAAAATCAGCTGGCAATTAGTGGCTTTTAACTGCTGGATGTGCTCAGGGAAAGAGAGGAAGGGAGCCCTGCCAAGACCACTGTCACCCCAGAGTGGCTGTAGTCATCCCGAAAGCTGTGTCTCCCTGAGGAGCAACCTCATGGGCTTGACAGAGAGGGTGGGAAATAGACCGGGAACATAATTCAGCCAGTCGCTCCCCAAATACACAAATGAACAATAATAGCACGCTCTGGGTAGAGTGGGGTGAGGTAGCCAGTACCCAGCATTGCCACAATGTTATCTAAAATATTTGTTTTCCTACAAAAAGTTACGACACACACACACACACACACAAACAGGAAAGTATGACACACACACACAGACACACACACACAAGCAGGCAAGAGAAATTGTCTTAGGAGTGACCATTAGGCTGGGCACGGCGGCTCACACCTGTAATCCCAGCACTTTGGGAGGCTGAAGTGGCTGGATCGCCTGAGGTCAGG